CACAACTTTTGGCAACCACGCTGCAACTCCACAAAAAAGTGTAAAATATATGTAACATTTTACATATATTGTTTGGATATCCAGTGATATATCACTTGTGAGGCTCCGCATTTTTAAGACGTTTGCTCTTAAAAAAAGTTAGTTTAAATACTCATTTTGATTTTTAAATCAGGATTCAGATCCTCACCAATCCAGCTGCCCTGGAATTTGAACTTAAAAGCTTTGGTTTTCTCTGTTCGTTTATGTATACGACACAGACAACTGCTTTGACGTACTTCTATGAAACATGGATATACTTATTTTAGCTGGTCTCGGTACTTTTCTAACAAGTCTAATATCGCAATTAACGCTTCTCTAGGATTCAATTATTTTGTAAAGTCTGTAGTTTACTCTTTGTCTTGTTCTCATTTTCACGTTTTAGTTTAGTAAATAATGAAAAGATGCAGAGAAGTATTCACTAAGGGAATGTGTGCTCGCGGGCACACTTATTAATCATTGTTTATTACTCATAGAACGTCATTTTCATATGCTTTTCTATGGTGAACAAGTTAGATAAACTGTAGGATATACCTACCATTTTATTAATCTGTATTATTGTTAGGTATTTAACAACATCTTCGGAGGTAATTAAATAATTTTCTGTATAGATAATATAGTCAACATTATTTTAATTGAATCTGGAAAGTTACATGTTCGATTACGTATACGTTTTAATTGATTATACTATAGCGATGTTTGTATTTAGTTTCTGGTTTATTCAACACAATATTAGAAACATCAGCTTCCCAGTTTATCTTCCTACATCTCTGTTGAGGTTGATTCCGTTGGTGTTTGTCCAGTCCCTTATATTTCTTAGCCACTATTTTTTCTACGACTCAAGCTACGTTTGTCGTATATTCTAGTTTTAAATATTAGTTGTATTCATCCATATTTTGCGTGGTACATTATGCTTCGGAGATAAATTTAACATATTTAAACGTTCAATTTTCTACTAGAATAGCTTCCAAGCTTGACACTTGGTGAACAGAGTACTTTAAAAATCGTACAGGTATATGCCCTAACAAGTGACCATGAGGACTATAAAGTAGAAGGTCTACGATGACAGTAGACTTTTATTCCCAATGAACAGTTTCTTGTACAAAAAACAAGAATATCGAAGATGAGCATGAAAAGAGCCCAAACAGAAAAACTAGGAATGAGATCGATTCTATGATCACACTGACAGGAGACAAATCTAGAGATGTTACATTTCTAAACCAGTTTTCACACACCACATAATGGTGAAAGCCTTGATCAAAATAGACTTTGACAAAGAGAGAAAAAGGATGATCAAAAAGAAGTTTACATCTACCTGGACAGAAAATAATAACATAAATACATTTGATGAACACATTAACAGCATTCTCGAAAGCAATAAGGATACAGACCTTTATGTTAACACCTTGAATAGCATTATAATAGAAGTTATAGAGGAAAGTCAGAAAATGTACTGTGAAAAAGAAATCATATAACGAAAGAATAAGTACAAAAATACAAGCATTAATTGAAGAAAGGAAACAATTGCAAAGTAATAAAAGTAAAGAACACTCTGAGCTTAAAAAGATAAGTAAACAAATATAAAAATCTATTAGGATGGACAACCGAACTTCTTCTTCACGTGCTATCTTCGCGACGGAGGATGGCAATCATCATGGCTATTCTGATCTTAGATGTTGGCGCTCTGAATAGGTCGATTAATGTGCATCCGTACCATTCCCTCAAGATACGCAATCATGAGATTTTTCTCCTTCTTACACTTCTCTTGCCTTAGATTTTCCCTTATATAATTAATTGAAGTATGTTGTACTTTTCATTAGGCTTAACATTCCCCAGGTATTAAAATCCATCGAATACAACAGACTATTTGTCCTGGTTGTTTATAGACTTTCGCACACATCTGATATGATAGAAATTAACACAGTAATAAGAGCGTTGGAGGAAGAGTAGTATAGATTATCGATACTGCACATTAATCAGAAAAATATACAATAATGCAATGACCAGAAGACTACACAAAGACACCAGATGTATAGAAATCAAAAGACGAATTAGACAAGGAGACACGTTATCCTCCAAACTCTTTACGGCAGTTCTGGAACATACTTTTAAATAAATGGAGTCAAACGCCAAAGGAATCAATGTCGTCGGCAAAATGCCCTTCCACCTACGAGTCCTTACCTAGTGAGTTGAAGCCTGTAAGGAAGTTGGTGTGATCATAAACTTTTTAAAGACACAATATATGACAAATCTGGTACCAAGTGAAAATCCAAAAGTGGGCTTCAAAGAAATAGTCATAATAGTTCATAAATATAAATACTGGGTGATACAATTCAAATTATTAGGGATAATCAAACTGCTGAACTGCAAAGAAGAATCACGTTAGCATGGGTCGCATAAGACATCTTCAAGTGCAACATGCCAAATTATTTGAAAAATAAAATGTCGACTAATTTTTCCTTCCAATCAATACTTATGACGCCGAAACACTTTTCTTAACCCAGGCCAACTCAAAGTGGCCCAAAGGAGAATGAAATGATCGTTACTTAAACTGAGTCTGAGAGAAAGAATTAGAAACGAAGAAATAAGAAGGACAGGCGTATGTCTATCTCGACTACATACGTATTAGTTAATACTAAAACCTGGGCCAGAGGACTAAACGAATGAGAGATGTAAGATATGCTAATTGGCCGCAGTACCGGTATAACCGGTATAACAAACGGCTTTCAAAAAGGTACACATGATCTGGAATACCAACCTGAGAAAGTTTTCAATATATTCGTGACAGGCATTTTTCTAATGAAAATTATCACAAGGACCTACATTCAGAACAAGGCAAAAGAAGTTTATATACTTAAAGTATATAAACTTATTATTTTTGTATCAAAAGCACAAAAAATATTTTTTTACTAATGTATAAAAAAGTTATATGCAAAAATTTGACACCAATACAATTTCCCATTTTACCCCCACTGTGTGGGTAAAACGGGATACACCGTGGGGTTAAAATGGGAAAAATAGGATTTTTATGCAAAATACAACAACTTAAACTCAAAAATTCAAAAGGAACAAAAAAGAGCAATTAACTAAATAAGAAATAACGATGGGTTAAACCCAATATTAATAAGAATAATAATAGAAAACATTTTTCTTAAACATTAATAGGAATAATAATACCGAACATTTTGCTTAAATATTAATAGGAATAATAATGCCGAATATTTTTCTTAACTTAATCATATCTGCAATATTCGCAAATGAATACATCATCATCGCTGTCATCTCCTGCACAAGTCTCATGTCCCCATTTATTACAATTGCAGTATTGTATCCAGCCTTCTCCTTTTTTGTCTGAAGAATATCTATTGTTGCAACAGAAGCATTCCTTATCTGCATTACTTACACTTTCATCTTCAGGTTGTATGTTTTTAACCTTCTTGGAAGTATGTATTTTTTTTTGCGGTTTTCTGCTTTGGTGACTTAGTCTTGGTCTTTGAGTTAACATTTTTAACATTAACTTTTGCTTTCTGGTAGCTAGAGACCTCTCCAATTTTTCTTTATAAGGATGCTTGTTAATATGTCAGTTTTACCTTTATTTTTACTCTGTTGCTTAATTTGTTTTTGCGGTGATTTTGGATAGGGAACAACTTGTTCCGGAGAATTGTGCTTGTTGCACCAGTGCTTGTTGGAGGATGGTCTATAAGCAAATCTTTAGAAGATTCATTATTTTGTCTTTCTGGAGTAACTTCTTCTTCGACAGGCTGCTCATTTTTGGATTGACTTTTCTCGGGACTGGATATGTTTTCTTCAACATTTTGGCTCATGATCAGTAGTTCCAAGAATGTAGCGATATACCCAAACGCATAAGCAACCAATCCACCATTTGTTAGCTTTTTAGTGTCCAACTTTTGACTATGTATGATATGCTGGTAAAAAATATTACATTCGCTTTTAAATTTATGAAAGTACAATTAAGTTATTCCTCCTCCTCCTAAGTGCCTTCTCTATTGAGGTTGGCGATCAATATGGCAAATTTCTCTCTGTTCTGGGCTTAATGATTAAGTCATTTCCTGTTGTGTGAGTCCAATCTCTGATGTTTCGGAGCCAGGATTTCTTCTTTCTTCCTATACCCCTTTTACCCTCGATTTTTGCCTTCTAATATTACGGCTGCTCAAATTCCTTATGCGCATTATGTGTCCTAGATATGACGTCTTTCTAATTTTGATTGTATTAACCAGATGAGGTCGTGTGTTCATTATTTTCCAGTACTTCATTTGTAGTTTTGCTGGTCCAGTTTATTCTTAGCATTCGGCGGTACATCCACATTTCAAATGAATTCAGTTTTTTGACGTCATACTGTTTTTAATGTCCAGGTCTCACAGCCATATAGTAGTAGAGACCACACATAACACTTTAGTGTTCTTAACCTTATTGTGATTTATAGCTTGGGGTTACAGAGCATTTTACGCATGTTCATGAAGCCAGATCTTGCTATTTCAATACGTCTTCTAATTTCTTTTTGAGTGGTCTAGCTGACTGTTTTAGCTCTCTGCCCAGGTATATGAAGCTTTGGGAGCTCTGAAGGGTGATACCATTGATTTGTATAAAATTAAGTTATTAAAAATTATAAAATAACTTAAATTAAGTTATATATAAAGTATATTACTGAATGATTTAAATACACTCCACTCAAATCAACCTGTTCAGAGTGAATCATTATTTCAAACTTTTTAAGAAAAACTGTTACATATATTAATAAAAATACTAATAAAATTAGCAAAATACTGTTTTGAGGAGTTTTAACTTTTTTTAAGGAAGGGGCTAAAATAAATTCATCCAATTTACTTGATCGACACATGACCATAATCTAACTTATTTCAATAAAGATGCCACAACAATTAATATTCGAGAAGAGCACATACTTTTGTGGAATAATGTACTACCAACTGACAAATTGAGGTTACCTGAATAATGATGTTTTGACGGTACAAGTATTTCTCAGACTGACAAGAGCTCTGGTACCTTGACATCTCGGACAGCATTCGCCCACAGGATGAATTTGTCTTTGTTGAACACATTGCAACACAGGACATGCTTTCTTCGAGCAAACCATCTTTTTTCCTGTACACCGACATTGTAGGCAAGGATCATCTGAAGTAACATCTCTGTCATCAGTGACTATTTGTTCGTTTATTTTGCATTCTAAAAAAAACGAACAAAGGATATTTAGTAATAATAGCAACAATTAAATGTGATGTAAAAATACTTGGATCATCAAAGTGTCGCTACATACGAGTATAAATGCAGTTATACTACACATAAATGCGTCACAATATTTGAAGGAAACAACAAATATTTTTATGCTTTTAAACCTAAAGCTTACAAGTAAAAACAATTCGAAAACTACATTATTTGATCTTAGAACGGCGGTTTCGGTGGGTTGCAATCAATTTAAAAATTTCAAAAAATTCCCTCGCATAGTTAAGACTTTTACAAAACTTTTTTAATTTTTGTCAACCCGTAGGCATAGATGTATATTACCAATAGACAGAGTGATACAATACAGCCCAGTTTCCCCAAAGCGACAGGGAAAACTGACGCACAGCAGTCCGCTGGTTCTCTTCTATTTCATTTAGCTCACGTGGTTGATAAACCTGGCCCATTAAAAAGAGATGCAGGGACTGTTTTGCGCTTTGCGTCAGTTTTCTCTGTCGCACTGTGACAACAGGGCTGTATTGTAGCGCACAATCTATTTATATTATATGTCTATGCCCTTAGGCTACAACCTAAAAAAGAGCGTTTTTTGGAGATGTCTGCAGGTCTATTTTTTTTATTTTGTGCAATTTCTCTAAAATATTATATTTCTGATTTTTCCGTAAGGTGCGCTACCTTCAAAAACCCGAAAAACTGTATTTTTTTTTGTTTTTGGTAATTTTTCCCTATTTTATAGATTTTTAAAGTCGATTAAATCAAGGTTTTTTATAGGCTTGTTTTATAACTTAAAGTTACTTGAGTCCTTTGGGAGATTCAAAAATTGGGCGAAATACGTTCAAACACCCAAAAAACCGTTTTTATCGTTTTAAAGGATTTTTTAGAGTTTTTGCCGGGTTAACTACCTTGCTTTTTAAGTACATCTCGGTTCTTCCTTTATTTGTTATTATTAATTTGTTATCTATTTGTTATTTTGTCTGTCCAAGGTATTCTCAAAATTCTTTTATAAAATCCTTCTATAATTGTTATTAGGACCTCTTCATTTCTAATTTCGTCAGTCCACGGGATTTTGAGTATTCTCCGATATAACCACATCTCAAACGTTTTTAGTCTCTTGCACACATCTATGTTTAAAGTTTATGATTCGATATCATAAAACAGAACAGAGAAGATGTGTAGCATCACAACATTCTTAATTTTATACCAGAGAGATATACCAGGTTGGAAATAGATCTAGCTTTTCTAGTGCGCACTTCTATCTCCTGCTTGTTGGTCCATTCTTTATTTATTATGGTACCAATATAGTTGTAGTGAGTCACTCTTACTACTGAAGTTTGGTCGACGTAGAGTTGATCTTCTGTTTTCTTTTTCTTGGTAATTATCATGAGCCCTGTCTTCTTCACAAGAAACTTGTAGGTTTTGTAGGTTATCCGCAAATACAATGGTGTCATCTTTATATCAGATATTGTTTAAACGATACGTGTTTAATAGAATGCCTTTTTTTTAATAGACTACATTATAATGTGCTCCCTAACTTTTCGCGTGATTGGTTGTGTGAGTGGGTCCCAATTTAAAAATTGGCGCGTGTCATGTTTATTAAAATGACAATGAAAATTGAGGTATTGTGGCACACAGTATATCGCTAAACAATTTATTAGCAATAAATTTGTGATATTGGTACAAAGCGATGATATTCACACTTTAGGAATTAAGCTGACTAGTACAGTTTTATTAGAAATTAAAATTTATTTTTCTTTTGACATTATGTAGGTAAAAATTAAATTCTGACCATTGTGTTTATTTAATTTTGATATGCTAGTGATGCTTTTTTTTATTAGATATATAGATATTGTTTTAATTTTTTTGTTTACCATTATTCGTTACCCATTATTATTCTCATTAGCTTTCTCTATGTGGAGTCGGCTTCTCTAAGTATTTTCCTCTAAAAACTTTACGGTTCTCTTCCAGGGACTAAGTACCTCTCCGCTTTTTTGTATGAGATTATGGTTTTCCAGAAACATGTAAATTCTGTTCATCCCCTTTTTTACTGCCCTACAATTCAGTGACCATACATCATAGCTGGTCTAAAGGCAGTTCTATACAATTTAGGAGAGCTTTAGAGGGGGTTTCCTTCGCCATTGCACCAGTAACGCCCCCCTCCTTTGATTTCCCAGATTTTAATAGAGAATAAAGATATTTTAGATATAGCTATTTAGTGTTTTATTTGGTTTGCAATCGTTATTTCCAGTAAACCTCTGCTTAGATTTGTTGACAATGACAATTTTTCATAGCACTCAATTCACAATATATCTTTTTATTATCCTACATTTGTGGAAAATCTAACAGCATTCAGTTTAAGGTTCTAAAAAATGAAAATGGGATAAATGTCAATTTGGATTTAGGCAAGGCAGGTCTACAACAAGCAATTTTTTAGTAAAAAGAGCTAATTTAACAATTTTAGAGTGAATTTGCATTGTATTATTAAATTTGAGAAAGCACATGATGAAGATATCAGAAACCTACTGTGGCAGAGATTAAGTAGGAAAGGAGTGCCGGCTGAATATGTGAGTGGAGTAATGAGCAAGTAACAAACTATAATAGTTGTTTAAAACAAACTATTATAGTGTTAGAACGATTACAGGTGAAACTGGCAAATTTGTGTAAAAATGGGTGAAAATCAGGGTTTCGCCCATATTTATTCTCATTTGTGCTGGATTAGATAACAAACTGAACCTCCTGGGTATTAGTAGAAAAGAGTAGCGGAGACAGGTCCTTTGAAGAATAATGATTAAAATTAAGTTTGGATACATTCAAAATATTTAGAATATTCTTTTAAAGATGAAATTTTCAAGACCAGATAGAGTAGTTGGCTTGGATAGACAAGAACTTATAAAATAATGATAATGTTTCCGCTTTTAGGATTGGTATTACAGTTTTATCTCTAATATTTCAATTAAAGGTAAAGGAAAGAGGCAATTGAGTGATGTATGATAAAAAAGGTACCAAGAAAACTAAAAGGTTAATTATATAGGACTGCCTTTAGACCAGCTATGATGTATTGGTACTGAATGTAGGGCAGTAAAAAAGGGGATGAACAGAAATTACATGTTTCTGAAAAAAAACATAATCTCATACAAAAAGCGGAGAGGTACTTAGTCCCTGGAAGAGAACAAAAAAGTTTAGAGGAGAATACTTAAAGAAGCCGATTCCACATAGAAAAAAGCTAATGAGAATAATAATGGTAACGAATGTTCTAGAAATCAAAATAATAAGAGGAACCTCTAAATATTAATAAAAAAATTACCTAAACAAAAAAATTAAAACAATATCTATATATCTAATAAAAAAAAGCATCACTAGCATATCAAAATTAAATAAACACAATGTCTGAATTTAATTTTACCTACATAATGTCAAAAGAAAAATAATTTTAATTTTCTAATAAAACTGTACTAGTCAGCTTAATCCTAAAATGTGAATCTCATCCGCTTTGTACAAATACCCACATTGCTAATAAATTGTTTAGCGATATTCTTCTTCTTAGAGTGCCGTCTCCCTACGGAGGTTGGCAATCATAATAGCTATTTTTATTTAGAACTTGCTGCTCTAAACAAATCATCGATCTGCATTGGGTACAATCACGTAGATTCTTTAACCATGAGTTCTGCCTTCGGCCACAGATCTTCTTCCTTGAATCTTTCCTGTATTATCAGTCTCAAAATTTCATATTTTGGTCCCCTCATCACGTGGCTAGGTATTCCAGTTTTCTGGTTTGTATAGTGGTGATTAGTTCTGTTTCTTTACCAACCCTCTCCAGTACTTCTTTATTTGTAATTCTATCAGTCCATGATATTTTCAATACTCTGCGGTATAACCAGAGTTCGAAGGCCTCGATTCTTTTTAAATTACATTTTTTTAATGTCCAAGTCTCAGCTCCATATAATATATTGAAAATATATAACAGCGAATGGTACGTAGTCTGATCTCCAAATTTAGATTTTTGCACGTTAGGAGTGGCTTCATTCGTATAAATGCTGATCTGGCAATCTCTATTCGTCTGTTTATTTCTATAGTATGATCATTGGTTTCATTGATCAAAGTTCAGAATAGATAGAATATATATAATAGATAGACAGAATAGATTTATTTTCACGTTCGGAGCGACTGTGAAAGCCGTTCGGAAGAAGGCCTATTAGGCCAAAATACATATAAGCGTGTTTTCCTTTTTATTCCGAGTTTACTTTGTACGAGTATTAGAAACCAATTCGCTAAAGATTTTTGCTTAGTTGAGAAGATATGACGTGGAATGCAAATTTTAGATTCCCCATGTCTCTAATAACATCTTTATCAAGGTCTGTTTTGCCTTGAAATTTTTAGAAGGCACAGATTAAAGCAAACATCTGAATTTGGTTTCGAAAATTAGTTTACGGATTTTATATCAAATGCCGCTAGTTGCGTCCATTCGAAGCCATGTTAGAGTTGCTTCCTAGTACAGAATTGATTTATTTTCACGTTCAGAGCGACTCTGCAAGCCGTTCTGTAGAGGCCCATTAGGCCGAAATACGGATAAGCGGATATACAGACGCACTATACGTGAAATTAAATCTTAACTTTCTTTTCCCTTTTATTCTGATTTACTCTGTACGAGTACTAAAAATCAATGGATTTTTGCTTAGTTGAGGAGATATGTCGTGGAATGCAAATTTTATATTCCCCATGTCTCTAATAACATCTTTATCAACGTCTGTTGTGCCTTGCAATTCTTAGAAGGCACAGATTAAAGCAAAAATCTGAATTTGGTTTCGAAAGTTAGTTTGCGGATGTTATAGAAATACTTTAAAGAAAGTGATCGGCCAATGAAGACATCAAAATTCTCAATATGGTGGCACTTAACCTGTTAAAGTAGGTGGGTGGTGTAAAAAATCCGATCGTGTGGTAAAAAAATCCGATAAGACTCAGAAAGATCAAATTCTATGACCGCCCTAAAACCA